TTCCTTTTTGGTTTTTGCCTTTTGAAATTAATTGGGTTAATACTATATTAGATCGTTAGGGTTTTGATGGATTTTGGTAATTTTAATATATTTTATTGAAAGAATAATCGTTAGGATTTCTCTTCTTTCTCATCTCAGATTCCTGGTTGATGTTCCACACAATGCTATCACAATGACCCAAGAATTAATTGGATCTGCAATCCAGTTCACAAACACAGAGAGCTTCAGGGGTTCACATCTGTTGGTAAGAAAAACAGTGGACTCACTTGCTTTTCAGAACAAAACAGGGGGAATTCCATTTACTAGAGAACGTATTTTTTTGTTGCTTGCTCCTCTATTTTTGCAGCCTTCTTTGTTATTTATAATATTTGTAAGTTGATCTGTTTTTTTTGCATGTCTATCGTGAGTGCATGTGAGGCAGCAAAGGCCGAAATTCCATTATGAGAGGTTGAAAACAGTCCTCAAGTTGGTCAAAACTCCACCAATAAATTGCTGTTAATTGGATTTTGACTGTTGCATTTTTTTAGCTCTGGTTGAATGCTTTAATTTGTTGAACCATCAAAAACCCTTGCTCTAGCATGTTGTGAACTTATGTAAAATCAACACTAGATTGCAAAGTTTCTTCTTTGTTGTTGGGTCACTAGGCATTTACAAGTTCCAATAAATTAACAAATTTCCATTTATTGCTGCTGAAAGATTTTTTCCCCATAGCTTCTATTATTTTTTCTCAAGCCTTTTCAACTTTCATAATTATAAATTCAATATTAGCCTGGTATGCTTCAAAATTCAAACTATTTTATGGTAAGATGTAGGATTTATTTTTGCAGATTGATTTTGCATTTGATGATGTTGACATGATAGAGGAACAGTAATCTTTGTCATCAGATGCAAGAGATTGCAAGGTGAGGAGTCCATAATCCAAGAGAAGGTGAGTTAGTTTTGTTATCTGTCCAATTTCAATAGCTTTCTAGTTAGAGCCTCAGCTTCAGTTTTGGAAACGACTAAGTATCTAAATCAACCTGTTCACTACTATTGTAAATATGTGAATGAAACCTCTATAACGGACAAAATGATAAGAAAGATGAACTGATTAATCCTTGTATATTCGTTTAGCTGAATTGGCTGGAAACTGCGAAGAGATTGAAGACCTATTTTTAGGTAATTCTTTAGTTTGAATTGCATGTACTAGTAAAAGGTGTGAAAAAATCTTTTAGTTGAGACCAATCTGTTGCTTTATTTTATTCTTCCCCACTTTTCTTTTATAAATAACCCACTAGTTGGTAATCCAAGCTGGAACTTGGTTGATAACTGGATGATTTTAGTAGCTGATAATTATATGTTTGTATTTAAAAGAAAATGTTATGTTTTTTGGGTGTAGGTTTTGTAACTTTTGTTCCTTTAATAGTCAGATTTAGTTGTTCTAGAACTTTGATTTGAATTAATCATACAAAAGCTTGCTTCATCTGTATTGGTCAGTTGGTTGAGATTGTTTTGTGTGACTTAATGCTCCAAGTGCTTTTTTCGTTAACAAGAACAAGGGTGCAATATAAGTAATTTTGGAACTCGGATATAATCTGTCAATTGGTTCAGGGGTTGACTTTTTTGTTTTACTTAATGCTCCATGTGCTTTTTCCCTTAACTGAGTCATACTTGCTATGCTAAATATTTTTCATGTGTCAATAACATTTTACATGATATAAATTACAATTTGCAGTTGTTGGCTTATGGTTATTTTTAGAACATTGCAAAAGACTTTTTTTTTTTTTTTTATATCTAATCACAATTTTAGTGAAATGGTATGAACAAAAACAATATCCAAACTTTAGAATGTTCCATTATTCATAGCCTTCTAATGTCTAGATTATTGTAGATAAGTTATATATTTAAACTGATGTTACATCTCTAGCTTTGCATTTCGTTGTTGCTTTCAAGCCCTTTATTTATTCTAATGAGATTATAATAGCTTTGAACCTTGTTGTTTTCAGGCTTATTACTGATTATAATGAGATTTCAAACCACTTCATCGAGTGTATCTATGTTCATTTGTACAACACCAAGATAAGGGTAAGAGACTGAGAGTTGATGCTCTAGTATACAAAATTACATTCCAACTTATTTGAATGGAATTGTGTGTTTATTTTTAGGAACGACTTGTTTTATCTCAACTTTGTATGTAGGGTTGCATCAACACTCAACCTTATCAACACTCAGCCTCGGATGACAAACTCTGTTGGTGGCTTGACTACTCAGCCTCAAGTGGCAATAAGCGAGAGAAGCGAGAGAAACAGAGAGGATATGAAGAACTTCAAAATCAACTTGAAGCTATGAAGCAACATAATCAAGCAAAAAAATTCTTCATCCTAGGTGATTTCTTAGGTTAATGTTTTGTTTATTCTAGTGAACAATATTGAACTACGTTACATTTTTGTTGGATGTTTGTAAACTTTGAATTATTCATATTTTTATGTATTTTTGTTTAATTGGAAGCGTAATTTTATTTTTAGGTTGTTATTAGATACTGTTACAAGTTAAATTTGGGTAATACAAAGTAGGAATAAAACATATTAAAAATAGCGACGATGAACAATTTACGGGTTCAACGAAGAGCAACCCAATTAGGGATGGCAACGGGCCGGGTTCAGGCCAGGTATTGGTCCCCCTATCCCCGTCCCCGTTTAAAAAATCCGTACCCGTCCCCATTTAAAAAACCGCGAGGATTTAAACGGGGATCCCCATCGGGTAATCGTGGAAAACCGCGGGGAAACGAGTATCCCCGTTTAGCATAAACGATTATTTAAACGGATATCAGGCCAGGTATATATATTTAAATTAAATATATAAATATTATATATATTTTTAATTTAATTTAAATTAAATTTATTAATATTATATATATATATATAATAATTATTTTTAATATTTATCAGGTCGGGTATCGAGCCGAGTAATCGAGTAATCGGGGCGGGGATTACTAAACCAGTCCACGTTCCCTTTTAACATAAACGGTTTTTCCCCGTCCTCGTCCCCGTTTAGCTTAAACGGTTTTTCTCCGTCCCCGTTTAATTCGGTTTTCGATTTTCTCCGTCGGGTTCGAGTTTTTTTTACCATCCCTAAACCCAATCAAACTTGCCTATGCCAACCTGTTGCAAATAGTGGCATTTGTGGTAAAAATGCCATTACAAATCATAATATATAGCGGCGTTTTGTATTATAAACGCCACTAAAAACAATAGAATTAGCGCCGTTTGTGGAAAAAAAGCCACTAAAGACAAATGATCTAACGACGTTTGTGGTAAAAAACGCCACTAAAGACAATAAAATTAGCAAAGTTTGTGGCGAAAAACACCACTATAAATCATAACATATAGCGGCGTTTGAAAGAACAAATGTCACTATATATCTCAACCTTTTGCGGCATTTTAGTTTCACAAACGCCGCTAACTTTTGTGGCATTCGTTTTAGCGACACTTCTTACGACGCTCTTACTAGCGCTGCTAATTTTTTTAACGGCGCTTAAAAACGCCGCTATAGGCCTAAAAAAACGCAGCTAAAAACATGTTTTGCTGTAGTGAAACCAAACAAATTAAGAATAAATAACGACTATTTAAACTACGTATCAAACAACATCATTTATCAAATCGAATTAATCATGCAACAAATGATTATTAATGATGAATGGTTAACTTTGTGTATTCGATTTTAATCGATCATAAAAGTTTCTCTTAAACCTACATTAACCTTAGTTATACTTTTTGTAATGTTGCCCTCTTACATAATCATAATCCATTTCTTTAGAATAAAGCCTAAATCGATTATTTAGAATCAAAAGTATATACAAAATCACATATATGGTACTATCCTACATTACATACAATCTTAGTGTATGGACCGGCATCTTTTGTTTAGAGAAATTGAGTGGTAAGTAGTTCCTTGGAGTTGGAGTAGAGACTAACTACAGACTCTCACGTAATCTCCGCGTGAAATTAATGCATGTATCTAACTCTAACCTACTTCAACTGTAAAAGCTAAAAACATCATCACCTACCATCGTCCCTTCAATGATTCATTCAACACTGTGTCTATACACTCACAGATTAGCATTTATATTACTAACCAGATACTTCACACTCCCATTTACTTAGGTGGTGTTTGTTTTTATCGAGGTAAAATGTCTGCAGTCTGCGGATCACATCTACAGGCATCTGCAGCAGAAGAGGCGGACCAAAAGTCTACAGTCTGCAAGAAGAATACTGTTTGTTTTTTAACGTCTGCAGACTGCTAAAATGAACTGAAATATAAATAAACTGATTTTTTAAACTTAAAAGAGTTTTGCAATACTGAGATTTAAATAATTTTAGTTTTACAATACTAAAATTTAAATAATCTATACAACTACAACAATAAATTATTTAAAATAAATCAATCTATATTTTAAAATAAATCAATCGATACTAATAAATTATTTAAAATAAATCAATCTATACAACTACAATAATAAATCAATCCATATTTTAAAATAAATCAATCATACTAATAAATTATTTAAAATAAATCAATTCATATTTTAAAATAAATCAATCCATACTAATAAATTATTTAAAATAAATCAATCCATATTTTAAAATAAATCAATCCATAATAATAATTTATTTTAAAATAAATTATTTTAAAATAAATTATTTTATAATAAATTATTTTAAAATAAATTATTTTAAAATAAATAACCTTATTAAATTATTTAAAATTATTTTAATAAATAACCATATTTTATAATTGTTCTTAAAGAGGTTTGAAGACATTTGAAGACATAAAATCATGTCTGCACTAAGAAGAGCTTGCGCAGACGTTAGAAAAACTTCTGTCTTCTAAAAAACAAACAGTCTGCGAAATCTAATGTCTACGGCACAGACATTAGAGATTTGAAGAGATTACACAGTGAAAACAAACTAAGCCATACTCTCCTTCCTTTTTCCTTCCTTTTTCGTAGCTCTTGAGTTGATAGTAATATGGGGAAATGGTCTGGGGTTGTAGTGGTACTGTTGGTTTTGAATTTGTGTTTACGCGTTAGAGTTGCTCCCCAAGTTCCTCGCTACTTTATCTTCGGGGATTCATTGGTGAATAATGGGAATAATAATCGACTCTCGTCATTGGCTAGGGTTAATTACTTGCCTTATGGGATTGACTTCCCTAATGGACCCACTGGAAGGTTTTCTAATGGTAAAACCACCGTCGATGTCATAGGTGAGCTTCTACTTTTGTTTCCCTTCGTTTGTTTGGCTGCTTCAACCAAGGGTTTCCTTCACTTGAAAACAACAGATTATGACTTATTTAGTAGACTGCGATTTCACCTTCACAAAGCAGTACCATGATAGTGTTATTTTAACGTCTGCAGCTCAACTTTTGGGCTTTGACAATTACATCCCGCCTTACTCCACCGCTAGCGGTGGACAAATACTTGGAGGGGTTAGCTGCCGGGATCAACTGGTAAAAATCGTACCATTGTTGGAAACTAAAACTTTTATCTGCAAACTTGTACTGTATAGGGAGCTCGAATGAGTTTCAGCGGGCAAGTTAAAAATTACCAACAAACAATACCACTAGTGGTGAACTTGCTAGGGGATGAAACCACAGCAGCAAACTATAAGTCAAATTTATTTACTCAATCGGACTCGGCAACAACGATTACCTTAACAACTAATTCATGCCCCTTTTTTACTCAAGCAGCAGGCAATATAACCCAGAGCAATTTGCTGATGTTCTTATTCAAGAATACACTCAGAAGCTTCAGGTTAAAGCACAGCATCTCATTTCCATTGATCTTTACACATATCCCCCAGTTTTGTCTCCCACAAATCTCCTCTATTGATTTACAAATAAAATGGTTTAGGCTTTGTATAACTACGGGGAAAGGAAGTTTGTGTTGATCGGGGTGGGTCAGATCGGTTGCAGTCCTAATGAATTGGCTCAAAACAGTCAAGACCGTAAAACTTGTGTGGAGAGAATCATGCTGCAAACCGGATTTTCAACTACAGGCTTAAAGGTCTCGTCGATCAATTCAATAACGCCGATTCCGATGCCAAGTTCATCTACATCAATGCTTATGGATTTTTCCAAGACATAACAAGCAATCCTTCGGCTAACGGTAAACGTCGAGGAGCATCTTATAAACACTCATTAAACGTTGAATATTAGTAATGTTATATCAATGGTTTGATTTTTTTTTTTTATGTTTGTGAATGTTCCAGGTTTTAAGTAAGAAATGCAGGGTGTTGTGGAGTGGGGAGGAACAATGGGCAAATTACCTGCTTGCCTGCCCAAACTCCATGTCCGAATAGGAATGACACTTGTTTTGGGATGCTTTTCATCCAACTGAGGCTGCAAATGAGATCATTGGGAGGAGATCTTATAGTGCTCAGTCTTCATCCGATGCTTACCCGATTGATATCCGCCGTCTTGCTCAGCTCTGAAGATGGAGACGATAGGCTTTGGACGTGAGAGATGAATAAGTGATAAAATATTAGATTATTCATATTACTTTTTATGTAGTTTCCATAAAATTTGTTCATTAAACTTGAGGATAAATGGTTATTTTTTAAAATCCAGTGGTAAGTGAATCTTATGTTGATGGGTTTTGGATACTTTTTCCGAAAACTAATAGACCTACCGCCTTCTACCGAGGTCTACTCTTGTGTTACTCAAACACCATATAATGCCTCAGTTATAACTATTTAGTTTTGAAAACTGTGAAATACAACTTCAACTGCATGCAAATTTACCCAATTCATTTTGGAATCCATCGGCTTAAAAATGTCTAATTTTGAAGGGAAAAAAACACATGATTATATGGCCATGCACATGAAAAAACATGGTTATATAGACATGCAGTGCTCACCAATAGTGTTTCCTAGCAACAGGAGGAAAACAAGTTAGCCATGTCGAATGCGTAATCCAAACTAATCTGAATATAGGAATAAAAATCGCTAAATGGGCCTGAACAAAGACCATTCAACAATGATTCAGGACAGCCACCACCAGCCTTATTTATTGGAAAATATAGCCTAGTTTTCTGAAAATCAAATATTGAAACCGAATAGAGGAAAAATAATAGTCACTGGCCTAATAATCTGACTATCAACTGTAAGGACAAATAAACAAACTAAAAGTGCCTTCAAAGAATGCTTTGAGAGTGCCTACTAGTGGAAAAAGGGTAATCCTACCAAAACAAAAAATAATGGATCAGTAATTCAGTAATGAGTACTTAATACGCAATACAATCCTCCCCTTGTCCACCCCAAGCTTCGCCCCTGTAACCAACCAATGGCCAGGACTATCTTGTGGTCCTTTCAACATTTCCGTTGAGTCCACAATTTTTGCAAGTTTCCCCGCATGGCTCGAACTGTCCTCCTTTTTATTGTCAGACGTTCTCTCATTTGAAACTGATGACGAAGATTCATCATTCCTCTGTCCAGTAGAAAGGCTGGATGGACTATGATCCCATACGGATCTCCTTATCGTGCACCCTGGTACTTTGGAGAAGAGGAGCTTGAGGTGTAATACGTTTTTGGAACCGAAGTCCCATACACCAAGCTGAGCCCCTGTGACAATGTGAACACCGGAGAGGTCTCCAATGCAAGTGTCAGTGTGTTCTATTGGTGAAGTACTCACATGGGAGAAGTTTTTCCACTTGATAGGTTCAAACCAACGGCTGTCTTGCTCCTCAGGACCTTGCCACTTTGGTGCACCTATTGCCATGTGCACATCCCAGTGGGGTTGAAGTATTTTTGGAAGATACACAAGGTGCTGCAAATGAATCGCTAGTCTGTTCTGCTTGCTGCCTTCTAAGCTAAGCCTAAGCCCAGTGACTGGTTTACGGCCAACTGTTACCTGAAATATCATTGTACATGCTCATTTAGCAGGAGGAAAAAATTATGTGAGGCCTCATGAAGATTACATGCACAAGCATACATATATACTGTTCAACAATTTCCTTCTCAACACTAATCGTTTGCTTTTAAGGAAAATACTCATGATTAGAGCCTCACAACATTTGCAATAAGTAAAGTGACAGAGACAACAAACAGTAACTCCAATGAGTACCATTTATTAACAGTGTTTCATTTTCTTTGTTAAAGTGGTAATAAATAATGAACTTCAAGGAAACATGCGATAATAATTATGCACTAGAGCAACATTTTATATAACCCCTTTAACACTTTTCCTCATACATCCAATAATGTAGGTTTTTGATTTAGACAGTACCTGATCTGGGCTGATATAAATCTTGGGACCCATTAAGCTAAAGTGAAGGGATGAACACACTGGTTCCTTCCTTTGAATGTTGCTCTGTTCTGGAGCCCAAACTCGAGCAATTTGAAAATCCAGGAAATATTGTAAATCCTCGATCGGTGGCTTGTCTGGTAAAAGGAAATAATGAATGTTAAATAGACCCTAGAGAGGAAGAATGAAAACATCTTTAACATCGATGTAAGATAATCATAGTGCATGTTGTGGAACAGTTGAAGAACTCACACTCCAAGTATAGTTCAATTGCACGGGCCAAATGTTTATACCAGGCACTCCTTCAAGAAGAGAAACAATGGGAGTAAATGTCATGTTAATGACATCCGGTGTCGATTCCACAGTCTCTGCCCACCTGGCATGACTCTGCTCAAGGTCATCACCTCCTCTCCTCCTAAAAATAACTGTAACATCCTACAGCAGGAACTCTTTTAGCGATGGATTTATTCAAATAAAAGGAAAAAATAAACAGTAACACATTTCAACCGAAATTAAGCATTTGCAGAGAAGGCCAAGTAATAAACAGGTAGTTACTTATATTTAGATACAGAATATATGGTGAACAACACCGTAATACTAACCTTTTCTTTGTATTTTAAGGGTGCAGCATTTGACTGGTCTTTGGAGTCCAGAAATCTTTGATCCCCGATGTCTTTCACATAATTCTCGATGTCTGTTAATGATAAAGGAGATGAATGGTGCTGTCTGACATAAACAACATCTCTCCCACCAATTGTAGCAGAGGTAACAATGTGTGTACCGTAATTTTCGATAAAACTGAGATAAGTAAAAGAAAACATATCAATATCAACAATTACAATTGGAAGCTGTCAGCCAATGCAAATTTATCACCTATGCTTCCTAGTTCCTATGATACCTCATCATAAAGAACAGAGAGATAAGATTAGTGATACATATGATACGTAACTGCCAGAAAACGGATTGGAGCTGAAATAGTTTGACTACCTCAGAGTATGAAAGCAACAAATACAATGATACAAAACAAACATAACAGCAAGAAACACACAGCTGAAGTAAAAATGTTTACTCTTTCAATATGAAGTCCATCCCATTTACCTTGCCAAAGATGCAGGATCCCAAGTGTAAGGAACAGCACATCTGACTTCTTCACTCAGAACTAAATTCTGCTTTGCTAATCTGATGGTATATAAGGGAATTAAATATCCGACCATGGCAAGGGATTTTGTAGCTGCTTCATCAACTCGCCAAGAACCAGTGAAATTGAACATTGCGTTAAAGCATCCCAGAGGAACATGCCCTGATATACCAGATTTCTCATTAAAGTATCCTGACATCTGGAATTAAAAAATAAAGATGTTCATTAAAGGTGGTTTCTCACCTGTGCTAAACCAATGGCACTGGAAGTAGAACCATTACTTTTAATTAGTTATTGTGTCGCTCTATCTATACTAGGGTGTGTTTGTTTGCCGTAATTGGAATTACGGAATTGGTTTTCCCCGAAATCCTGTGTTTGGTTCATGTAATTCGTTTTCCGGAAAATGTTTTCCCGTGTTTGTTTCACGTAATTCGTTTTCCGGAAAATGTTTTCCCGTGAAACAATAATTCGTTTTCCGGAACGTAATTCATTTTCCTAGTAACAAAATTTCCCGTGTTTTCTGTAAAATGACTTACGGATTCATTTTCCGTAAGTCATTTTCCGAACTTTTCACTTCAAAGCAAAAATACTCAAAATAATTTTATTTTATGAATTTAATATTAATAAAATATTTTAATATCATTTTCATCAAAATATTAATTATTAAAATATTTAAAATATATTTATTAATATTTATAATAATATAGTATTATATTTTTAATATTATATAAAATAATCAATTATATTATAATAATATAAGATATTATATTTTTATTTTAATAATATAATAATTTTTTTATATATTTAATAATGAATAATTTTATTTATATATTTAAATAATATTTTAGTAAAGATATTTAAAATATACTAATTAATATTTTTAAAATATAATATAACACTATTACTTTAATAAATAATTAATATAATTTATAATATTTTATTTCACTAAAATATATCAATATTAATATTTTTATTAATAAAATTATAAAAATAATATTTAATAATAAATAAATTATTTTAATATTTTAAAATAATGATATTAAGTTTTATGATAAATAATATTATTTATTATATTTAATATTTGTAATAAATAATTTTTAAAAAACTCGTGAAAAAAATGTTTAAATAACATCTTCCAAACATCATAAAACGTTTTCCAGATGTTTTCCTGAAATGTAATTAATTTTCTAGAATTCAAATTTCAGTAATTCATTTTCCGGAAAATCAATTACAGCCAAACAAACAAACCTTGAATTGATCTTTGAAATACATCAACACAGGCACAAAATTCCAAATTATAGGACATTCAATCTGGAGATGCCATTCATAACCAAACAGAATCAAGTGAATGCTTTATCTGAACAGTATGGATGGTGCCTAATGGCTTTACCCCAGACAACATCATCAACAATGTCAATGTGATTCCAGTCCAAATAAGAGATGAAGCAATGATTGGCTACTGGTGAACATTTATTCATCGAATGCACCAAAATCATACATCACACCAGAAGTTGAAAGCATTCCTTAATCTAAAAATTAAATGGCATACACAAAGCAGTATACCGGCTCAGCATTTATCACAGTCAAATTCAATTTAAATGGATCCTGCCTATAGGTTCTTTACTAGTCTAATACATTAGAGGTGGCAGAAGAAAACTTTAGCAATCAATAAACATAGGCACAGTAAATATGCAGCAGATAACAGAAAAAGAAAGTTATCCACATAGATACCATGTAAAAGTACTTGCTTAATTGGATTAAACTGTATGGAGTTCATTTGTACAAATAGAGTTCCCCTGCAACTATTCTTCTCTCTTTCAGTTTGATAATCGGACTGCACAGAGCCCTAGTTAAGAAATATTTCAAACAACTGCATTTCTGCAAGCAAGTAAACAATTGGAAATCCCAGCATGTCCACACAATATCGAAGTTAAAGCTTTGAAACAAATAATCAAATCACCCCCCAACGCTCATCTAACAAAGACAGAAGGCCAATAGCGTAGCCAAACCGAGAAATTTAAACCACTCAGATAATTCTTTCAAAAGGGGAGGGAGGATAAAGATATGAATACCTCGGAAAGCAAACAAAATCAGAAAAACAAACAAATTAGAAACAGATCACAGAGGAGTAGCAGCGGCGTACCTCATGAAAGCTACAAACTGATTTTCTCTCGATTTCACTCTTTCCCATTGACCACTTAAGATCAACGGACACGTTAGGTACAATAACCCCGCCTGAGAAAACAAGATCGTTGGTATGATCTTCATCAAGCTGAACTAACCTTGAACCAGATGCCCCTTTGCAATATAACAGCCTTATATCTGAAGTGACATCAAAGCCAGACCCAAAGCTTGAATTGAGCTGCTTATTGTAGTAGTCAAAGCATCTGGGCTAGAAGATGAGCTCAAGCGGCTGCCGCTTCTTGTTCTTGGGTTTTCCATAAACAAAAAATAATTGAAGGAAAAAGAACTTTGATTCAGAGGATCCAAAAAATTGAAAGCTTTTTAATTTATTTCAGGTTGTTCATTGAAATGAAATGTAAATGAGATACGTGGATTACGAGAGTTGGTGAGTTTTTTTATTCTGTTGCTGTTTTGTTCTTGTTCTAAAGGCGGATGTTGTGAGTTGACCACAATAATCGCGAGAAACGCGTTATTTTTTAGTTGTGTCTGAACAACAAAGGATTCTAAGTTGACTGGTCTCCATTGGATATTTTTCTCAGATAAAGTATGCTCAGCTAATGTTCTTTTGACTTTTAGATGCATGACTAATTATAATTGATCGTGTTCATTCATTTTCCAAATCAATCACCTAGTCTCACAATAAAATATAAATGAAGTGTACAAAACAAGCCCAGGTTTTAGGTATTCTTTTTGAGGCCATTCTTTACATTTGTACAACGATCAATCAAGTTTGCTTTGAAGGTGGTTGATGTTGAACAAGCGTTGAGGAATAGCCAGGCCTTGCTGTTGAAGAATCTGATGACTGAGTAACCATGGTGGTTTTGCTATCCTTCAAGGATGGCATCCGGTTGAGTTGGTCTTTCAGTGCTCCGAATATTGACTCATCGGCAAAGATACTTGGGTCCATGATTAATTCAGGAACAAGGGTTCGACCTTCAAGCATGTTTACAACTTCAGACATGATCGGTCCAAGTGCTGGTGATGAATTAGTGCACAATAAAGCTACTCTTGTCGTCCTATTTGCTCTTCTTCATTGAACTCGGTTCCCAACCGTGGATCCACCAACTCCATCAAGTTTCCCCTTTGATGTAAACAAAAGCCTGGAATAGATTGAGGAGATAAAATAACTTTAAAGATTAAATTAATTAACAGGAGAAAAGCATTAATGAATTCGCAGAAGTTTAATGCACCTATGGATATTTATATGATATTCTCAAATCATAACTTGAAACATGGATTATATATTTACCCAATCTTGTAGGCAATACATAATCCTCTTCTGATCGATATTTTGTATTGTTCTTCCCAGCAACAATCTCTAATGCAACAATCCCGAAACTGTAAACATCTGCCTTGTAGGTGAGATAGCCCCATAATGCATATTCTGGGGCCATGTGTCCTCTGCCAAAAAAAGGAGCTTTAAGCACAACGTTTTCATGCATATCAACTTTGCTCATGTTTACATAAGCAAGGTTGGAGACTTTGATCTCATTTGTACTGTTTATAGTTTAAACGTTGATGCTGCATTCAATTTGCAGAAACTTCAGTTTAAATGATCAATGTATTGTTTTTTTCTATTATGGTAGCAACTTGAGAAATCATGTATTACTCCTCCTTGTACTTAGTTGGGAAATGTGAAGAAAGCACAAACAGCAGTATAGTTTTGCTTGATTCAAACTGAATATGCTGAATTGAAAGAAATGCAATGATGACCAGCAGATGAAAAACAGGGAGAAAGAGAGTGCTCACATAGTTCCAACAACTCTGGTGGTAATATGGGTATTTTCCTCAACGTCAAACTTGGCCAAACCGAAGTCGGAGATTTTAGCATTTAGATCGCTATCTAGTAGCACGTTGGTAGTTTTGATGTCTCTATGTACAATTTTTAAATTCGATTCCTCGTGCAGGAAAGCCAGACCTTTTGCTATTCCGAGACAAATTTTCTGCCTTGTAGGCCAGTCCAATTTCAGTTGGCTTTCTTCAGGACCTATTTGTTGATACAGGCCAATCCATGAAACTCATCATATAGTTGTCAAAACATAGTTTTCTTTCTATAATTTTAAACATCACCATATTCTTTTCTGGTGGGGATGTGGAAGTAATCGGAGGAGGGGAATACTTGATTTATATGGTTCCAATAACAGAACCACCAAAGGAGGAATAAAAGAGGTTTAGGCCATTAAGCTTACCGAATAAAGCACGTGCAAGGCTATTATTTTCCATGTATTCATATACCAACAACAGCTGAGTTCCCTCAACACAACATCCATACAATCTAACAACATTTGGGTGTTGTAATCCTGAAATCATGGCTAGTTCATTCAGAAATTCTCGATCCCCTTGTCTTGATTTTGAAGAAAGTTTTTTAATTGCAATTATGGTACCATCAAGCAATACACCCTGCATAACATAAAATTTTGTTATATATTTCCTCAAAGTAAACATACTCTTAAAAATCATAAAGTCAGAAGGAAATATGATACAATGTAAAGAGAAAGCATGTAATTAAGGTACCTTGTAGAAAGCTCCAAAACCACCTTCTCCAATTTTATTTGCAGCATCAAAGTTGTTCGTAGCAGCTTTCATCTGTTTGAACGTAAAAAAGCCAGCCTGCAGGTCTAACCCCCTCAAGACCTGGAAAATATAGGGGGAATCAATTGAATTACCAATAAGTTTGCAATAACATGCACTTTTTTTCAAATAGATCACCTAGAGAAATCATTTGAAAGCATAAGATTGTAGATTGAAGTTTATTAAGGTACCTTGTTCCCTTGATGGCTCACGTGGAAAATAGCCTTGCCACCATAGAATGCCTAAGATTCCAAAAATCAGGCACAGAACAGAAACGATAGCTCCCACTACAAACTTCATATTCTTATTCCAGCCACTTAGAACTGGAGGCTTGAAATCTATCAACAAAGGGGGTAAAAAGGTAAAAACAGTTATTCCCAAACTTCATCTCCTGAAGTGACGGTGCATGTGAATATGCCAGTAAATTGTTAGACTTATCCAACAATTTTAGTACTTACGATGGTATTGGATAAAGTTTCCTTTTCAAAAAATTTAAGCACATAAAGCTGGTCGAATGTTGCTGGGTCAGTTTACAGTGAAGTTCTACTAGTTTTAGCTGCCAAGAATCTCTCTCATGCAAACATTTTAAGGGAAACTTCATTATTGCATCATATAATGTACATGTCAATTCACTTCAAGAATCAAACAAATTGGACAAAAAGAATCTAGTTCCCAAATATAACTAGCAGATTGAGTAAGCACGTAAGAAGAATGAATGGCTATTTTAATTACAGATCTTACCAGAGGCTACTGAATGGCTGATGTCAAAGGGCCATATGTTCCTCTTCTTGGGGTTGCCGTTGTCCCCTTCCCAGCCCAGTGAAAGCGTAATGTCAAAGTTTTGTTCCTGACAACCGTTTTAAATTTCCTTATAACCGCTTTATTGACATCCTTTGCCTCATCTTTAATATTGAAATCTTTCAATTCCAGTTTCTCCTGCAACGAACTTATTCAATCAACCAATTTCAGGAATATCTAAATCACACTACATATATGACATGAAGGACTACCTGTACATAAACATCAAATATCCTCCTACCAAGACTTTGATAGGATCTATTGGCTCTGATAACTATCTCTGCAAAGTGAAGTGTAACTGTATAGTTTCCATTTGCTAAGCAACGAAAATAATTCGTGAGAGAAAGAGGAGAGAGGCGCGCTCTTGTGTATAAATCTGAGTTGTTTGTTCTGAGAATGGAAACATTTTGTGCTACAAAGTCCTTTGAAGTAACAGAGGTATCCCAGAAAAACCCAGTGCTACTAGTTTCCCACGTCTCTTTGAGTGGAAAATATTTTGCTGGACCTCCTAAGTCTTCATCTGCCTCATAGTCGATGCCATTAATAGTTGTTGCTCCTCCACCACAATTTATATTTACTGAATACCAATCTATTAAGAATGACAAAAAACATTTCATGTTGATTAGGTTAATACCTTACAGTAAAACATGTTTTTAGAGTCTACAGATTTGCATTTTAATGCAAAGGACCTTTGGAACAAGGAAAGTTCTTCAGGCAGTTATCTAATCCTCTACATTATAGTACAACAAAGAAGCATCAGTCCTTCTAAAGAATTATTAATAGGGAAAGAATAGAAATAACAAAAAATATGGTAACTTTTTTCCTCAATAAGATTCAAACTTACAAGTTTTTGCCTCCTGAGAAGCTTTCGAACAAATTTCTAATGAAGCACAACAGATGAATCAGTTTAATATTTCAAAACATCTTACAGAAAGTTAGAAAAGTAATGCGTACACAGCATAGAGAGCGAAGTTAAGAGGAAATTTTTCTCACAGATTTTCACGAAAAGAAGGCGACCCTGGGTCTTCAGAAAAATTATTATAAGAAAGATCAATCTGGCTGCATAGAAGTATAACAGATTATAAATAACTAGACTTGAAACAATAAAGCAAATTAATTTTGATTAAAATTAACAATTTTATAGCTGGTAAAAGTCAGAGGGACATGTTTCTAGGAATGGCACTCTTGAGCAACTACAAAATGGATAAATTGGGTTATTTTTGCACTGTTTGAAGAGAAACCCCAGAAAATCCTCAAGTATAATAGATTATAAACCCTTAAGTTACTGTAAATAGCTTAGGATCAAATCCAGAAAAAAAATCATACAATGAATACTCTTTGAAGAGTCAGTTAACAAAATACAGAAAATAAACAGATAATCATGTGTCAAGGTAAAAAAAAAAGGATAGTAGACCTACTAGCGGCTATCTCTAATACTCATCCAACCTGGAATGATCCCATTAAGCGAGTTGTCTGTCAGGTACCTAATCAGTAAGCAAAACATTCCACAGTTAAGCTATTCTTGTGGAACTATATTGAAAGGTTATAACTAAAGCTTAAAGTGAAATAAGTTCAACCAAATTTAGAACTTATGTAAGGATATTAATGCATGCAGATTCCTAATTCTGAAGTTGCGGAAGCATCAGCAAGCTAGTTTTGTTTGATTTTCCAAGTTGCTGAGTGTTCAGATAAAATAAACAGATGAAAATGTTCCCTTACCATAATAACCTTAAAACTTTTGATAAACTACTTTGAGCATATTGTGCGTAGTGTTCTTCATATTGGTTAATTTGGGTTTGGATGAATACACCCCAAGGGTTCACAGTACTTACATGTACTGCGTTTTTGTAAGGCTTTCAGAGTCTGAAATATTTCCTTCCAATTTATTGAAACTGAGATCTCTGGAAGAAAGAGCAAATCAGCAATTCATAGCAAAACAAAAATATGACGAGTGCATTTATGAAAAATGAATTCATGAAAAGCAAGCGAGCATATCAGATGTTGACGTTCACAAGATGCTGATTATAGTATATTGTTTTAAAATATTCATTTTTATAAAATGAATAATCTAAATATTCCATTAAACTGGTCAAGATGTTGATACAAATATGACAAAATCAGTCAATATTGGCAACGCTTTACATAGTGTGATATGGTAATTGATACCGAGTGCAAAATTATGAAACTGAGTTATATTATGATTAGGATTAATTATTAGTATTTTATGAGATATATTATGATTAGGATTAATTATTAGTATTTTATTTTATTAGTAACTCTAGAAAACTATTTTGTAGGAATTCTATCTACCTAGGACACTCAACTAAACCTGTATAAAAACAACCCTGCTGTAACTTCTCAATTTATGATAAGAAATAAAAAAACATTTTTCATGAATCCTATTTCTACATGGTAGCAGTTGTCAACGGTCTTGATCGTTCGATTGCTTCCGTCACCGTTTTCCTCTTCGTCTTTCTCTGTTGATGCCGCTACCGTTCCGATCAACAAACCGCTGCTTTGCTTCAACATATATCATCGCCCGCACTCCTTCGCTCACCAACTCGCATCAATGTACAATCCTCGTTCGTCGATGCTGCTTTGCTCGTTCGTGGAATCTCCCTCTCGTTAATCGTGATTACAATTTGAATAAATTAGCTGCAAACCTGCTAATTGGAAGTGTCTTTGAATCTGGAATCTGTATTTATAACTCAAGGTAATAATGAGAGATCAGATTTCAAAAAAGGACTCGCATAAGACAATGAGTAACCTAACTTCGCTCCGTTATCTTCGAGTTTTATTTCATGGATTGTTGATTCAGGAGCTAGTGATCACATGGCGGGAGACTTCACTCTCTTTCAGAATTTTACAAAAGCAATTTCTTCTTCTAGTGTCCGAACGACTGATGGTTCCCTTTCATCAATTGCGGGCAGTGGTTCTATTCGAATTAATCAGCATATTTTTTATCTCCTGTTCTTTATGTTCCAAATTTGACTTGCAATCTTATTTCGGTTAGTAAATTGTCTACGAATTTGGGTTGCACTTCCTGATTTAACTATGATATTTACAAATTTCAGGATTTGAACTCGGGATGGTGATTGGTACTGCTAAGCGTCGTGGTAGGCTTTACATTCTTGACGCCCCTCCTCCAAACCACAAACCCTCTACTAGTGTGTCCTCCTTTGTTTCAATATCCCCATTACCTAATGATGTATGTTGAGATTGTTTTTTGTCATTTTAAGTTAGGTCACCCCAGTTTTACTTATCTTGCTAAGTTGTTTCTCAAACTCTTTATTCATAAAAATCCTACATCTTTTTCTTGTGATATTTGTCATCTTGCCAAACACATTTGCAGCAAATATACTCGGGATATATAGTGACATTTGGGGTCCCTCTCGTGTAAAAAGCTTAAATGGTGTTCGTTGGTTTGTTTCTTTTATTGACTATCTTTCTCGTACGACATGGACTTTTCTTATGCGGGATAAATCTAAGGTTGGGGATATTTTTAAACGGTTCCACAAGTGATTGAGAACCAATTTCAGAATTCTATTGGCATATTTAAGTCGGATAATGGTAGTGAATATTTTTCTCACATATTGGGGTTTTTCTTTCAGGAAAAATATAATTGTCCATCTTACTTTCTGTGTCGATATACCTCAACAAAATGAGGTTGCTGAATGAAAAAATCATCATCTTCTTGAGGTAACCCGAGCACTTCTTTTTTCCACTCATGCTCTTAAATATCTTTGGGGATAGGCTCTCTTAACTGCCACCTATCTCATTAATCGCATGCCCAATAAAATCCTTGGTTTTAAAAATTCTCAGGATGTTCTTTTCCAATTTTTCTCTCACTTTAAACCGTTCGCTACTAGTGTTTCTCTTCGTTTCTTTGATTGTACCGTTTTTGTTCATGATCATAACCATATTAAATCTAAACTTGATTTCCCAGACAATCCAATATGTCTTTATTGGTTACTCCTCTCTTCAAAAGGGTTATCGATGTTATTCTCCTTCCACTAAGAAATTGTTTACATCTATATATGTCACATTCCTTGAACATAAACCTTTATTCTCTAAATCTGAAGTCCAGGGGAAAGTGAGTGTGAATTTTAGTTTTTTCAAGTTAACTACCGAACTACCCATCAACCTCTCGCCCACTGAACCTATCGAAACATGACCACCTAGCACCACTATAGCACCTGACATTGAAAACATACACCAAACCATTAACCCATTGGACTCACCAAAAACACCAAATCCACTTAACACCACTACCACACCTAACATTGAAAACATACACCAAACCATTAGCCCATTGGACTCTCCTAAAACACCAAATTCATCTGTGTCACCACTTATTTCTCAAACCGATCTTCTTACCTACAAACGATGACCAAAATACATCCTGTTCCCACATGACCTGCGTAGTGCCAAGAGCCAGAACCAGATTTAAATTCCTTGGAAAATGAAGAAGGCAATCAGAGTAATTTAAAAGTTTTGGTTGATACTAGTGAGTAACCAATTGCTCAAAGAAAGGGAGTACGAAGATGCACAACTCATCCTATTGATAAATTTGTTGCTTATGGTAAACTTTTTTTTAAAGTAAGAATTTTATTCGAGATAGAGATAAAACATTAGTAGGGGCCTCATTACAAAACCTCTCTATGCCTAAATGGAGAAAAAAAGTGCACCCTAACCAATGTATACAAAGACAAGGAGCATCCTAATAAAATCCATAATTTACACCGGAGCACCAACACCTATAAGATATACAACCATCAGCTAAATGAAAAACACACGGTCGGGAGTAACCCAACCTAGATACTTTATCAAATAGAACTATCAAGAGCACACTTGGGCATAACATCCACTTCCCTCTGCCCTTTAAAACCTTCCATTCCCTTACTTCCTAGAGGGAGCAACCGCCAATCCAAACACTCCAACACCTTCATATCGCCTGGAGGCCACATCACTCAATCGCCTTTTTTGCAAACCAGTCAACCATTGTATTATACCTTCTAGAAACAAACTTGAGGTCTACCTTCGCCTGAGCCAATCGGGAGGCAATAGGGAGAAGCAAGGAAGACCACTCCGACGGAACCGTGGATACATTCAGCAACCAATTTACCAACACTTTACAATCTGATACAATTTCCAGCCTATAATTATTTAACCACTCTGAAGTCATAAACTACTCTAAAGCATGCTCGATCGTAAACTACTCTATAATTATTCCCAATAGATAACGAGAACGAGAGCAGCAACTCATCGAAATTATTGTGTAGGACACCTTTAATTCCCCCATCATATCCATCCGCTCTCGTGGCCCGTCCACATTAAATTTGAGGGTACCACAGAGGGTGGACTCCAAGAGTAGGGCACCAGTTCCATCTTCTTTCGTAGAATTGCATCAGAAGCTCGTGATAAATCTGCAAGAAGGGCCTCTTTCCTGAAGGGAGCCCCCTTGAACTTCGCTTATAACCAGCAAACCACCTAACTCTAGTATAAAATATCACCTGTCTCTCATCAAGCTTCTTCCCGTTAAAAACCAGCTCATTTCAATGTGACATATGTTTTTAAGACATTTACAACTAAGGTTGACAGCATCCGTATTCCAAAGACCATAGAAGAAGCTTTAAAAAATCTCGAATGGAAGAATGCGGTAAAACTCTCTTCTCTTAAAAGCAACAAAACCTGGGCAATTATTAATCTTCCTAAAGATGAGAAACCAATTAGCTGCAAATGGGTTTTTACCGTGAAATACAAGACAAATGGAAGTGTTGAGCGGTATAAGGATAGACTTGTGGCAAAAGGGTTTACTTAGATTCATGGAGTAGACTATTAAGAGACTTTTGCCCAGTTGCAAAGCTCAACACTATAAGAGTATTATTGTCCTTAGCAGTAAATAAGGACTAGATACTTCATCAACTGGATGTTAAAAACACATTCCTCAATGGTAATCTTGAAGAAGAGGTCTATATGTGGATTCCACCAGGGGTACAAATACAATTTGGAAATCAACAAGTAAGTAAATTGTTGAAGTCTCTAATGGTCTAAAACAGTCTCCTCGTATTTGGTTCGACAAATTCATGGAAGTACTTTTGCAAGACAACTATAAGCAATGTCAATCTGACCATACTTTGTTTGTCAAAACCGCTCCAAACAAGAAAAAAAAATCTTAATTGTCTACATCGATGACATCTTCATCACAGGTGATGACTTAGGAGAAATTGAAGGCGTTGCTTGCAAGAGAATTTGAAACCAAGGACTTAGGGACCTTGAGATATTTTTTTGGGCATGGAAGTGGCAAGATCGAGAGAAGGGATTGTCATAAACCAACAAAAGTACATTCTAGACTTACTCTCTTAAATAGGAATGACTAGTTGCAAGCCTTCGGAAACTCCCATAGAAACAAATCTAAAGCTTAGGAAAAATGGGAATCCAGTAAATAAGGACCAATATCAAAGGTTATTTGGTAAACTCATCCATTTGTCACTTATTAGGCTAGACATAACCTTCTCTGTTAGCATTGTGAGTCAATTCATGAATGATCCTAGAGAAGAACATTTGGAGATGGCATATCAAATTTTGAGGTATTTAAAGATGACACCAGGACATGGATTAATTTTCAGAAAACATGAGATAGAACAATCAAGATTTTCTCCGATTCAAGTTGGGAATAAGAATTAACAGATAGAAGATAAACTACGGGTTATTGTTCGTTGTTTAGGGAAACTTGGTGACGTGGAGAAGCAAGAAACAAGTTGTGGTTTCCAGAAGTAGTGCTGAAGCAGAATATCGGCAATAACACTCGGAATCTGTGAAGGTGTTTGGTTACAAAGACTCCCAACTAAACTAGAGGTGTGCAATAGAACCTACTTTGAGCTTCAGAGTGACAGTAAGT